ACACATGTCTTTGGTCATCTTTGTATGGATAATTAATTTTATATATTATTATCTATAGTTTGCATAAATATAGCCGGGATGCTTTTGAAAATATAAAATTACCGTATTATAACTTAATATTTTGTACCTACTATGTTGCAAATTAAACTAAAAATTAAATTATTTATTATTGAATAACTAATTGTATAATTAGACTAATTGCAACTTAAAAATCTAAATCTCTAAATATAGTTTAATAATTTAAAATTTTATATTTATCGGTAACATTGAAGCTTAATTATTAATTATTAATTAATATAACAAATGACAAGTTTGTTGGTAATAAAATTTTCTTAATTACAAAAAATGTTTAATTAAATATACGGTATATAACTTTTTTTTTATTAAACCGTGACAACTAATTATATATTAAATATTTGACTTTTAATTGACAAACTATTAATATTGATAAAGTAACATCAATTTTTATATTATATTTCATAATGATATACTGTAATACTGTGGATTTAATTATTTAATTATTACCTTTAACATAAAAGGTCATCATTATCATATATCGTTTTCAAAATTAAAAATTACAGTATAATAAATTAATTTAGTGTATCTTATTAAATACATCATAATTATATGTGATGATAGCATGGACAATCCTAACCACATGCCTACAGTGCCTCCAATATTATAGATTAAATCGTTGTAATCCATAGCCAATTGTTCGCTAATTTGCGGCTCTATGTAATTCAGTAGGATTATATTAACCTGGGAATAATTCAAACTAGACTTCACTGTTAACGGATGAGCCTGTAGCGTTACGTAATTACATAAATTTTGATACCTATCACACTTATCATAAATATATTTCCTTAGTGTATCATTACCAACATCAAGGTCAAGCTCACAAAATCGATAATCAAAATTAGCCATGCTCATATATTTATCAATGTTTAAGAAATACGCGTATCCGAGCACCGGTATGCACCCAAACGTGTCGTTCAATAGTCGCACAAAACACTCGGTATTAGCTATATGTTCGTAAAAATTCATATAAAACAGGTCGTCCGGAAAGGGATCACTATTTTCGATACAGTCGTGAGATTGGCGTTTCAAACGCCGAAACGAGTGCGACGTAAACCACACATTGGTTTCGCTATTAGTCTCGACCCAAAACTCGGTCAACGCCTGAGACGATAGTATCGTTAGAAATAACATATTGAGAGCACGGGAGTCATATTTTATGACCATCCGGGCCAGTCTAACATCGTCAGCTAGTGATCTACGTAATTGCGATCGGACTAACCCCGTTAAGTTAGAGTAAAAATATTGCATGTGAATAACGTTATTTGGTTAAAATCGGAGTATATTTTCATGTGGCGAGCATGCTACTTTATGTCCATTTGTAATAAATAATAACAATCTAGTATGTTACTCATATAATCAAATACCACATTCCGATATAGATCAAGATTTTTCGTAGCCAGAACTATCCAGTTTAATCTGAATATCACCTCGATGATCAATCCGAATTTAATAATCAAGTCGGTTTCCTGATCAAACATCATAATTTGTTCGTAGTAACCTGGGTAAAGTTGTGCAAGCAGTGTCATATTATTAATATAATTAAAGTACAAAGATCTAATTGCCGGAATTCTTTGTCGATTGTGGAACTCTATATTAATTTTAACATTGGAAATCCTATAGAATTTATAAATACTTAATAATTGTACAAACATTAAGTAAACACAAACAATTAAAAGAATTATTTTGGCATATTTAAAAATGAAATTCATTTTCCGGTTTTTATTAACATTTGAAGTGACCATGTTATGTTTTCCAAATGATTCCATAAGGGCAATACTAATTCCATATAAACTATATCCCAAATACATGCCCAGTAGTCCGCCTATGGATGACAAAAATACAGTTATATTCATTTTGGGACTCATTTTCCACGACATGTTTATTCGTCTCCCATACGAATAGCTTAACGTATTAATAGGCAATCCCTGTGCTTGCTCATTTATTTGACGTTCGTGTATGCCAATGTTTGTGAAATAATAATTGCACCCAATTTTACATTTATCATATAGCCACTGATAATTTGGGATTATAAAACAACTAGGATTTTGTGTAGTATTAATAACAAATTGACTCTGATCATTTGTGTAAAGTTGTGAATCCCAGTAGAGGTTATGCCCGCAACGGCTTAGCTCTATGTCTCGCATCAATCGTAACATACAGTCGTCCCGTGATTTTGGTCCACCATTTCCGGGATCCCGACGATTGCGCTTATAATCGTAACAATCGGTACGATATGGTCGGGGTAATAGTTGCTGCAAATTAGCGTCTATAATGATATCCTCACTAGAGTTCGTAACTAGCGAGGTCATTTTCGTGAAATGTGATAAATCATAGAGTGTATTAACAGTCACATCAATCTTACTGTCCGTTTGCATTGCTATGTATACCAACCAAAACGGGTGTATAGCATGTTGGTAGTTGTAGTCATTTAGGTAGGTGAAACAAAAACTACCGTCCCGTCGGTGCCGCATGTATACCGGGGCTATGTCTACGCAATCGCTGATAGGGTAGGCGCTGCCCCGGGATGAGCACCAGAAGTTTATTGACCGCCAGTACTCATAATTGGATTGATTCCGGAATTCTCGTGAATAGTATTTATTGAAACACAAAGTGATGGACGAGTTGTACACAAAGTACGGGGAGTTTGGGTCGTATAGCATGTCATTAAGCACTTCATATTTTAAGTAATTTATTGTTTGGTCTATTGATTGATACGTAAATAGTGTCATTATTAACACTGTTATTAAGACCTTGGTATTCGTGTATTTAATCATTATAAAAATTATTGGGATAATAGTACACTGAGTTTCTTGAATACACCTAGTACACTGAATATTATAGACTAGTAGACTTTATATTGAGTTTATATTGTGAAAGCACAAATGTCAATTTAAATTAATTTCTTGAATTGATGTATATTTTGACTTGTATAATAATAAGTAGTTTTAATAATAAATTATGTTACTAATAATTTATTAATATTTTCATTATCCTTATTAATATCGATTAATTGTATAAAAATAATAACTTTTTTAATATGATATCAAATTTTAATAGTTATTTTAATCTCATTCTCACACCAACGATGTCACTATAGTATATATATATATTTATCATTCATATTACTGTTAAACATTGTTAGATAATTTAGATAAAGTTGTCTACGTCAATAAATGACCTTGTTGTGTTATACTGAATTTGAAACATAAATAAAACTTGTTGTATATGTGGATATGTGAATAGCTGTGTTTACATTAGTTACTTGTAACAATTCAGTATTTTATATCAAAAATATATTTTATAAAAAACTTATATTGTTTTTACCTCAATAAAATTAAGGTTTAATAAATACAACTTAAAATTGTTAAAATAAACTTGTATACTTTTCATAAAATCTAATAATATTTAAATAATTTAATAACTAACATGTTATCTGACTTGAGGTATGTATTATATTTAACTTCCTAATAATTATTTAGAAATATACCTTGTTTATTTTACCATTTTATTAGCATACAAATGATTACGTGGAATGTAAAAGAGGAGCAATGTCATTCCGATTTAACCCAATTGCTTGGTATTGAAACTACCGGTGCTAATGGCCACCAATTAGCCGACATATACGCCATAGGCCTCCAGGAGGTGCCCTTTGAGACAATTAACACTGAGATACCCACCGAACATACATGGGCTAAAAGTTTTAACAAGGTGCTTGAGCAAGTGGGGTATAGCTGTTTGGAAAAGGTCCAAATGAACGGCGTTGTACTACTAGTCTTCGCAAAAAGCAACAAGCTATCGCATTTCACATCTGTCCAGGTTATTGTGGGATCCAGGTTATTTGTGTTCATTTAATAAGTACGTACGTATAATATAGCATATTAATAAATTAGCCTTAATCAGTTAGCAGAGTAGTTTATATATGATTTTAAAATAACTTGCTTGTTACATTATATAATTTAGTGTTTTTTCTAAATTAAAGTTATACGCACATACTTATTGAATGAACCCTGTTAAATATATGACCTAGGACCCAAATTGGCGGAGTTATTTTTTCCAAACTCCCCACATTCTGCATAAACCAACCCATGTTAGGCCTCTCGCATATATCTATTCTAATTTATACAAAACTGACAAACGACACAATATACAATACCCAAAACGTGATCATTTTTCATTAATAATTGCTAAATTATTAATTAAATTAGCCAAATAGTTAACTAAATTTAGTTAACTATTAGGCCAATTTATACATAATTAAATTAATTTAATTCAAATTTAGTTAATTTAGTTAGCATACAAAATAATTAAGCTGTTTTAATTAATAATTAATTAAATTTATTTAATTAGCTAATATAGTTAACCATTACGTTAATTTAACAAATAAAATTATTAACTATATTAACTTATTTGTGCGTTAAA